ATTATACTAAGTGAAATAAACCAGGTGGAGAAAGAAAAATACCATATGATTTCACTTATTTATGGAATATAAAAACAAAGCAAACAATAAACAAAACAGTAGTAGACTCAGACACTGAGAAGTGACTAGTGGTTACCATCTGGAAGGGTTTGTATGTAATTGTTCATAGTAATATCTTATGATCCTCAATATCTCTCTGTGTCAGTGGTAATATCTTCTTTTTCATTTTGATTTCATTTGTGTCTTCTTTTTTTATTAGTCTAGCTAGAGGTTTGTCAATTTTATCTTTTCAAAAAATCATCTTAGTTTCACTAATCATTTCTATTGCTTTCCTAGTCTCCATTTCATTTATTTCTGCTCTGATCTTTGTTATTTCCTTTCTTCTGCTATCTTTGGATGTAGTTTTCTAGTTCCTTGAGGTGAAGTTAGGTCATTTATTAAAATGTAGGCATTTATTGCTACAGACTTCCCTCTGAAAACTGCTTTTGCTGCATCCCATAAGTTTCAGTTTGTTGTGTTTCCATTTTCATTTGTCTCAAAATATTTTTGACTTCCCTTTTGATTTCTCTTTTGACTCATAGGTTTTTCAGTATGTTGTTTAACATACATATATTTATGAATTTTCCTGATATCTTCTTGTAATTGATTTCTAATTTCATACCATTATGGTTAGAAGATATGTGATATGATTTCAATATACTTAAATTTTTCAAGATTTGTTTTGTTGGATAAGGTGAACTATCTGGAGAATGTTCCATTTGAATGTGCATTTGAAAGAAATAGTTATTTTCCTGCTGTGGGAAAAAGTGCTCTATGTATGGCTGTTAAGTCCATCTGATCTATAAAGTGTAGCTCAGGTCCAATGTTTCCTTATCAATCTGGATATCATTAATGAAAGTGATATAATCAAATCCCCTACTATTACTGTATTGGTGTCTGCTTGTCACTTCAGGTCTCTTGATCTTTGCTTTATATATTTAGGTGCTGTAGTGTTGGCTGTATAAATATTTATAATTGTTATATCCAAAATAACAATACTTTATAGACTCTATAAGTATAGAATCATCAGTCCCCTCTCTACTTCTTCAAGCTCAAATCATGAATGCTTTTCTTTGCTTACTTGGCCTTTCCTCTTGCCAGAGCATATTTCTTACAGTTCCTAGAACATGGCATTTTCTTCCTTCTATTATTCCTATGGATGCTTTCTTAATTGGATGCTGTATCTCCTATAAACCTCTTCTGGTCTGATCTAGGTAAAATATCTTCCCTTTCCACTACTTAACAATATTTCTCACAATTTATATACATGTTTATTCAGTTTCTCCCACTAGAGCATGAAATTTACAAGGGTGGGAAACAATGTATTTTTATAATCTGTTGTTTGCCCAACACCTACCAGTTGTCCCAGAATAGATTAGGCAGGTGCTCAATAAGTATTTCTTCAAGGAGTAATCATCTCCAAAAATTAAGTTTTTTAGAAGTAGAATTATTGACCAATGGTATGTGCATTTTTAAAACATTTGATATTTACTTTAAAATTATTCAGAATAAATATATTAATTTAAACTCCTGCCAGTAACATAGGAGACAATCCATTTAATAATACTCTTTTTTGCAGGTATCTTTAAAATAAATCTTTAGTAATGTTACAATGGTATTATTCCCATTTTAGAAGTGAATTTGATCTCTTTTGTATATTTATTGGTCACTTACATTTCTTTGGTAAATTTCTATTCATGTCCTTTGTTAGCTTTTCCATTGTGTTATTTTTTGGATTGATTTTTAAGATCTTTGATACTGGAGAATGTTCCATGTGCATTTGATGTGTATGTTAAGTACAGCTTTTTGTCTATGTGATAATTTGTAAGTTTTTCCTAGTTTTTCATTGATTTTAATTTTGTTTATTTTTAATATACAGAGATTTTAGAATTATGGCTTCTATTCCTATTCCTCCACTAAAAGTTTTCTTACTAAAATTATGAATGACCTTGTAGTTGTTATATCCAGTGGGCATTTCTCAGATATCATCTTGTGGAATCTACTCAGTTAAGGGCAAAGCAATATAGGTAGAAATTTAGATGTTTGGTCTATATTGATTTGACACATCTCTGCCATTTCTAAATCATGGCTTTCCAAGTCATCACAATCATAAATGAAATCAAATGCCACTCAGCAAATTTGTTTTTGGTAAAATTAAGTGCAAATCGTCAGGCTAAGGCCTTTCAGCAAATCCCTCTAGTTTTATGATTATAGAAATGAGTCAAATATTTTATGAAACGAAATGGCAGACCTGAGACAGAAATAAAGAAACTAACTCTAGGGATTGAGGTAAGTCACAAGTACAACATGCCAAGCAGGAATCAGAAATATGGTGCTCTGAAAGGATGTTGTATTGGTTTTCTAGTGCTGCCATTATAAAGTAACATAGAGTTAAAAGAACAGAAACTTATTCTCTCACGGTTCTAGAGGCTTGAAGTCCCAAATCAAGATATTGGCAGGGCCAGGCTCCCTTGGAAGCCTTCATCTTTACATGGCCATCTTCCCCCTTTGTGTTTTTTTTTTTGTCCAAAATTTTCTCTTTGTATCAGGACATTGCCTTAATCTGATTATATTTGCAAAGCCCCTATTTTTAATTAAGGTCACATTTCCAGGAACTGGGGATTAGTATTTCAACATATCTTTTTTGGGATACACAATTCAAACTGTAACAAATGTGAACCAAATGAAGAGAAGAGGGTTGAATTGGAGATTTTCACAGCAAAGGGTAAAATACCAAACCCTAAATTGACAAGATAAAGTAATGGTTAGTTGTTAGGTACATCAGAAGTGCAAAAGCATCATTTGTGGATGTTAAGAAATATGATGAGAAACTGCTCCATTAATTCCCTCATAATTCTAGTGGAATATTAAGGAAATTTTTAATCGATTGATTTTTAGGCATGTTAATTTGCTTCTGTGAATAAGGTAGTGGCAAAAGGTAATTTCTTATGATAGCTTGTTATATAATTGAGAAAGATCAAGTTTTCATTATTTCTTGGAGGGGAAACATAAAAATCAAAGAACTGGAAATTAAGAATTTAACTTAACTGAAATTGAAAACTCAATTTATGGAAAATATGATAAAATATTTTTTAAGTTGAGGCAGCAAAATTAGTCTAATACATGCAATGTTATATTAACCCCATTAGTGAAATGTTGATTTTGACATTTATTTCTTGTGAACTGACCCAAAATATACTTTGAAGATATTCCATAGTATGTCAGAAACTTGATTATAAAATACACATACAGTGTTTGACATATGCAACTAGAGGTACACCAGAACAGAAAAAAGTTGCTAATATTGTTTTCAAGCTATTGCAGGTCTGATTAAAACACATATCAATTCTTTTGTAAAATGACTCTTGTTTTACCTTATTAAGTCTTAGAAAGATAAAGCATAGTGGAGCAGAATAGAGAAAAGTAAAAGAACAAATTGAGATGTAGGACAAATAGCAGGGTTTCTATTTGCCTTCCTCCAATTACACTCAACAAGTTATCACTTATCCCTGCCAAGAAACAAAGGCTATTTTTTAGGGGCTGGGTCAGAGAATGTGGAAAATGCTCATTTATTTGGCTAAGATGACCTAGCTATAATTATGACTTGCATGTCAATAAAGAGAATTATTCAGTGACACATTTACATTTCCTAGGAGAAATACAGCATAAAGAAATTTAACAATATTTCTAGATAAATGAAGTCACAATGATTGCTTAGATATGTTTATTTCTTTATCTCTTGTAACTACATTTTTAAAGTCTATATTCTCTTCTTTGACTTTCTTTAGACAAAAGGAATATGTTTTTGCACATCTTTTGACCAGTCTTCATTTTTCTAGTAAAACTTTTGTGTGATGTATAAGTTAAAGTTTTATTTATATTCCAAATATTATATAATGCCATTTACAATTTGCTTATGAGGAGTTTCTCTTTTTCAAAGCATCAATTTAAAGTTTTTATCTTCATTTGGGGAATTCATTCCCATGTGGTTATTCAACTGAGTCTACAGTGACTGCATCAAAAAATGCATTTTATTTCACTTGACATATCTTTAGACTCAACATTCTTTTATTTGGAAAACTTTTTGTAGAACTATTTTCTGAAGTAGTTGGAAATAAAAATATCTCAAGTTGTTTAAGAGGGCAAACTTTCTATATATATATTTTGATAGTAGGCTCTTGTGATGACTGAAACTTAAGGATGTAGAAAGGAAATTACAGGGATATAGACCTTAGAACTCACATCTTTCAAACAATATTAACTTTCTTTCAAAACATATGAAATACATTGTTAGAACATTGTCACACATATAAGTTATTTTCTCTAACAATTGAAAATAGGGTACAGCTTTCTGAGTTCTATAGCATAACTGTGTTTTGATAGTAGGATGAAAAGAACAGAATTGAAAGTTCAAAAGCACCAACTTCAACTAGGAGTTGACAAACTAGGAGTCAACTTCAACAAGCAGCATTACTAGGAGTTTACCTGATGTTTTTCTGATAGATAAATGATTTTTTTTCAGCTTGATGTTTCAAGCAGTAGATCTTTCACTTGCAGCCATTGTCCATACTTGTTTACCAAGTTACAAAGTGCTAGAATACCTTCAATGGAACCTTGTGGGGAGAATTGGCTGTGATGTCATAAACCCTTAAGGGTAAGTTCTAGAAGTGAGATTTAATCATACTAGAGACTAAACAAGAAAGATGCTTACTGAGGAAAGTTGGATTCAACAAAAGTGTAGTACAGAATGCAATAAGTTATGAATTACTTTTTCTGAGGTAGCTCAACAGAACAATGCCTAATGAAGGAAGGCAACGGCTTAACCATCTGGTACATTTGTGATTCTTGATTAATTACCTGAAGACTAATAGACTTGAAATTCACCATTCTTAGAAATGGAAGTTAGTGATGAACCTGATCAGCCTGTCTCTGCAGGGAGGAAAGAAATTCGGAGAAGAAGACGACCCAACCAACCAATGGTAGACAAATCCCAGCAGACAGAAGTGGCGGAGAAAAAGAAACAGCTGCCCATACCACAGTCATCTGGTTCCCAAGCTACCATCAGTATTGGTAATATTCCTGGAAGCAACATAAACTATGGGTCTCTTAGAATATCTTCTCAACTTCAAACTTGGAAGAAGAGAAGAAAGTATATACGGGATATGACTGATAAATCTCTGCAGACAGACACTACTGAAGAAGAGAAAAAAGAAGCAATCAAGGCAGTTGATGAAACAGTGATGCCTGAAGAAAAGCCAGCTGCTGTTAGGGAGGGAGACCCTGAATTTCCAGAGAGTGTTCAAGAAGTAGAAATCTCACCAAGGAGACACTCAGTCCAACTAAAAATACATAGATCTCAGCAGACCAGTTGTACTGGAGTCTGGACAATGATGAACATTCCTCAGAAAGAAACAGTGGACAAGGAACAGCAGACAGACCTCAGTGAATCAGAAATAATGTTTTTTGGCAAGCCAGGTAGTTCTTTTTCAAAGTCAAAGGAAGGTACACGGAAATGTAAATCCTCAGGGGACATTTTTGTTAGTGAAAATCCTGAATTTCAATCAATAACAAGTAACAATGAAGAAACTGGGCAGAGTATTAGCAAATTTTTATTTATTCAACAATCCAAAAATGGTAATACAGCATATTTAGAAGATGAGCAAGACATTTCAGTTGCAGTGCAGCCTACCACTGCAGGAGAGATCTCTGCTGAAGTACAACCTCCAGCCACTGATGAGGCTCCAGCAGAAGAGGCCTCCGCTAAAGTAGAGCCTACCCCAGCTGAAGAGATGTTTTCAGAAGAGCCTCCTGCTGAAGTTCAGCCTCCATCTACTAATGAGTCTTCTACACAAGAGGCCCAAGAGCTTCAACTTCCACCGGCTGAAGAGACCCCTGCAGAAGAAGCTTCAGCTGAAGTTCAGCATTCAGCTGCTGAGGAAACCCCTACAGAGGGTGCTTCAGCTGAGGTTCTGCCTCTACCAGCTGAGGAGCCTCCTGCAGAAGAGACCTCAGATGAGGTTCAGTCTCTGACAGCTGAGGAGACCCATGCAGAAGAGGCCTCAGCTGAGGTTCTGCCTCCACCAGCTGAGGAGAGCCCTGTGGAAGAGGCCACAGCTGAAGTTCAGCCACCACTAGATGAGGAGACCTCTTCAGAGGAGGCCTCAGCTGAAGATGACAAGATAAAGTAATGGTTAGTTGTTAGGTACATCAGAAGTGCAAAAGCATCATTTGTGGATGTTAAGAAATATGATGAGAAACTGCTCCATTAATTCCCTCATAATTCTAGTGGAATATTAAGGAAATTTTTAATTGATTGATTTTTAGGCATGTTAATTTGCTTCTGTGAATAAGGTAGTGGCAAAAGGTAATTTCTTATGATAGCTTGTTATATAATTGAGAAAGATCAAGTTTTCATTATTTCTTGGAGGGGAAACATAAAAATCAAAGAACTGGAAATTAAGAATTTAACTTAACTGAAATTGAAAACTCAATTTATGGAAAATATGATAAAATATTTTTTAAGTTGAGGCAGCAAAATTAGTCTAATACAAGCAATGTTATATTAACCCCATTAGTGAAATGTTGATTTTGACATTTATTTCTTGTGAACTGACCCAAAATATACTTTGAAGATATTCCATAGTATGTCAGAAACTTGATTATAAAATACACATACAGTGTTTGACATATGCAACTAGAGGTACACCAGAACAGAAAAAAGTTGCTAATATTGTTTTCAAGCTATTGCAGGTCTGATTAAAACACATATCAATTCTTTTGTAAAATGACTCTTGTTTTACCTTATTAAGTCTTAGAAAGATAAAGCATAGTGGAGCAGAATAGAGAAAAGTAAAAGAACAAATTGAGATGTAGGACAAATAGCAGGGTTTCTATTTGCCTTCCTCCAATTACTCTCAACAAGTTATCACTTATCCCTGCCAAGAAACAAAGGCTATTTTTTAGGGGCTGGGTCAGAGAATGTGGAAAATGCTCATTTATTTGGCTAAGATGACCTAGCTATAATTATGACTTGCATGTCAATAAAGAATTATTCAGTGACACATTTACATTTCCTAGGAGAAATACAGCATAAAGAAATTTAACAATATTTCTAGATAAATGAAGTCACAATGATTGCTTAGATATGTTTATTTCTTTATCTCTTGTAACTACATTTTTAAAGTCTATATTCTCTTCTTTGACTTTCTTTAGACAAAAGGAATATGTTTTTGCACATCTTTTGACCAGTCTTCATTTTTCTAGTAAAACTTTTGTGTGATGTATAAGTTAAAGTTTTATTTATATTCCAAATATTATATAATGCCATTTACAATTTGCTTATGAGGAGTTTCTCTTTTTCAAAGCATCAATTTAAAGTTTTTATCTTCATTTGGGGAATTCATTCCCATGTGGTTATTCAACTGAGTCTACAGTGACTGCATCAAAAAATGCATTTTATTTCACTTGACATATCTTTAGACTCAACATTCTTTTATTTGGAAAACTTTTTGTAGAACTATTTTCTGAAGTAGTTGGAAATAAAAATATCTCAAGTTGTTTAAGAGGGCAAACTTTCTATATATATATTTTGATAGTAGGCTCTTGTGATGACTGAAACTTAAGGATGTAGAAAGGAAATTACAGGGATATAGACCTTAGAACTCACATCTTTCAAACAATATTAACTTTCTTTCAAAACATATGAAATACATTGTTAGAACATTGTCACACATATAAGTTATTTTCTCTAACAATTGAAAATAGGGTACAGCTTTCTGAGTTCTATAGCATAACTGTGTTTTGATAGTAGGATGAAAAGAACAGAATTGAAAGTTCAAAAGCACCAACTTCAACTAGGAGTTGACAAACTAGGAGTCAACTTCAACAAGCAGCATTACTAGGAGTTTACCTGATGTTTTTCTGATAGATAAATGATTTTTTTTCAGCTTGATGTTTCAAGCAGTAGATCTTTCACTTGCAGCCATTGTCCATACTTGTTTACCAAGTTACAAAGTGCTAGAATACCTTCAATGGAACCTTGTGGGGAGAATTGGCTGTGATGTCATAAACCCTTAAGGGTAAGTTCTAGAAGTGAGATTTAATCATACTAGAGACTAAACAAGAAAGATG